ATAGTCAAACAATCAACCAACAAACATTTATTAAGCATTGTGCTAGATGCTGATGCTGGAGATACAAAGAGAAATGAAACAATCCCTGCTCTCAAGAAACTTACATCCTATCTGTGCTATCGATAGCCCTACCATACTCTGGTAGCCAGCCTATCTCTGGATCATTGTGCCTAATTCTAAGCAAAACATTTTGGTAAGGACACTGATAAAGTGGAATGCATCCTGAGGATGGCAAGGGGACTTGATTGTGTAACATAGGAGCATCAGTTAAAGGTAGTGGAGCCTACAATTTAGCCTGAAGAGAAAATTTAACAGCGGCACAACACTTCTTCAAATGTTTGAAGTCCTATGACATGGAAGAGGGATTAGAGTTTTCCAGAAGTAGGGGGGCAGGGGGAAAGGTACCAGTTTTAGAGCAGCAGATTTCACCTCAATATAATAAGGGATGGCCTTTCAGGAAGATGTAAGTCAAAGGTCACACCTCCACAATTCCCTTCAAACATAAAAACGAAAACTCCCAAATGAAACAAAATGGTTAGAAATTCACACCAGTATATTCAAACTCACCAAAGGGACAATGAGAAATCTGAAGGATGGTTCTGATTCGATAAAGCACATATTGTGGAGCTTATGAAAAGAAACAGGAGAGAGGCAGGTAGGTGGCGCAGTGGATAGAGCACTGGCCCTGAAGCCAGGAGGACCTGAGTTCAAATCTGGCCTCAGACCAAACACTTGACACTTACTAGCTGTGTGACCCTAGGCAAGTCATTTAACCCCAATTGCCTTGGTATAAAACAGGGGCAGCTACATGGTAAAATGGTCCTGGAGTCAGGAAGACCTGAGTTCAAATCCAGCCTCAGACACGTACTAGCTATGCAACCCTAAGCAAGTCACTTCATCCCTCTTGCCACCCCACCAAAAATAGTATAAAACATAATGTAGCTAGGTGGCACAGTGGATAGAGTGTCAGACCTGGAGTCAGGAAGACTTAACTTCCAAAGTTCAAATCCAGCCTCAGATACTTACTAGCCGTATGACCCTGAGCAAGTCATTTAACCCTGTTTGCCTCAGTTTCTTCATCTGTAAATGGAGCTGGGAAAGGAAATGGCAAACCATTCCTGTATTCTTGCCAAGAAAACTTCAAATGGGGTCACAAAGAATAAGACACGCCTGAAAGGACTGAGTAACAACAACAATACTGAGAAATACAATCAAGCAATCAATGATAATTTTCTAAGTCCTTGTGATGTGCCAAATACTGTGTAAGGCACTGACCAAAGTCATGATAGACACGCTTAAGTAATTACAGAAAGTGCTACAACCAGCAAATAAAAAGCCAGAGAGGTATTAAAAGAAGAGAATGCAGCACCCCAAAATCTCAAGAAGAGATGACAAAATTCAGCAAGATGGAGAATAGTACAGAGAATCTGGGCACTATAAGTAGGCTTAGGGTAGTAGAAGAAACAGTGACATGTAAAGACTTAGAAAGACAGAGCAAGCTCAGAAAAGCACCCAGTTGGAAGAAAATTGGGAAGAGATGTATTTGAGGGTCCTGGAAAGATGTAAAAGAAAAAAAGCTTCCAGGAGCTTGCACAAGTATGCTTCCCAGAACTATTTTTTTTCCCCTAAAGCAACACTCTGCAAATCAAATCTATGGCATCCCAGCAGATAAATTCAAAATTCAACCAGCCCAGTCTCTTCATTGTCAAACTTCAAAACAACAAAGAAAAAGTCCTTGAAGCTGCCAGAAGGAAGAATGAACTTTTTGTCAAAAAAGCATTAATCACGGTCACAACAAGGTTTTCCTTCAAGAAATAGAAATGTCCAAAGAAGTTGGAGCAAAACATTTAGAAAAGTTGTTGGAACTCAGTTTTGTTCCCAGAACCAGTTTTCCAGCAAATCTAAGTATTGTAGTTGAAAACAACAGGTCAAAGAACTCATATGGACAAGTCATACTTCAGAATCAGCCTTTGGAATTGACGTTGGGATGTGCCGAAGGGAGTTAAATACTACACTACTCTAGTTGGGCAAGATTCTTTCCCACATACACCTTGGATATTTTGTTACTATGCCTTGAAGGGGAGACAGAGAGACAGAGAGAGAGAGAGAGAGAGAGAATTATAGTTTAACTGTTATCTGGAAAGATTAGACCAGGAGTGGGGAACCTGTGGCCTTCAGGCCACATGTGGCCCTTAGGTCCTCAAGTTTGACCCTTTGACTGAATCCAGGGTCACATAGTTAATAAATGTCTGAGGCCAGATTTGAACTTGGGAAGATGAATCTTCCCAACTTCCAGGCCCAGCACTCTATTCATTAGCTGCCCTGCAAACAAAATAGATAGACTCAATTTTGTGAAAATGAAAAGATTTTGCAAAACCACAAAAAACCCAAGGTATCCAAAATAAAGAAAAAGGAAACAAATAGATTACAGAGAAATCCTTGGGGATAGCAAAAGAGAGAGAGAGAAAAAAGCAGAAAAACCCAGAAAGCCAAGGAGGGAGAGACTATCCTAAGAGAGAAAGGTGATCAATCTTTTCAAATGCTAGGAGAGGTCAAGAAGGACAAGAACGGAGAAGCATTTGGTGAGTAGGAGGTCTCTGATCTAACGTTGGAGAGAGCAGTGTCCATAGAGCAGTGAAAAAGAAGATAAATGACAAGGGGTTGAGAAGAGAAGAGGCTAGTGAGATGGCGCTGGCAGACCCAGACAACTTTCTCAAGTGTAGCACCAATCTGTCCTTTGTTTTGCTTAACTGTCTATCGTTGTTGTAGGAGAGTGAATTCGATTTTTAAAGTATCAAGAAAATATTTTTTTTAAAAGGAAAGTCCTTCTTTTTAATATTTCTGAGGGAAATCTGACAAACTGACTCAAGAAGGCACTGGCATAAATTTACCAGTGTAATAACCCAATATTCCCCTGCTCTTCTCCAGGTGCTTCCATTCCTGTCAGTGGACAAATAACCAAAGAGCACAGACAATTTCTAAAAGAGGAAGCACAGATGCTGAGTGAAGTGAGCAGAACCAGGAGTACACAGTAACAGCCATGTTGTGCAACGACTAACGTTAATAGACTTATCCCTTCTCAGCAATGCAAGGATCTAAGACATCTCCAAACATCTCAGGACGGAAAATGCTCTCCACATCCAAAGGAAGAACTATGAAGTTTGAATGCAGATCGAAGCATACTATTTGCTATTTTTTTTCTTCTGTTTTGTTTTGTTTCCTCTTTCTGATGGTTCCCCCTATTGGTTCTAATTCTTACTTACAACATCACTGATGTGAAAATATGTTTAATAGGAATGTATATGTATAGCCAATATCAGATTGCGAGTCATCTTGGGGAGGGAAAGAGGGAGGGAGGGGGAGAAAAGTTTAAAACTCAAAAGCTTATGGAAATGATTGTTGATAAATCAAAATAAATTAATTTTAAAAAAGAAAAAAATGAAGAAAAAATTTAAAAGTAACAATTTTAATAATCCAAAAAATAAAAAAGATTAAAAAAAAGAGGAAACACAAACTATTAATCACTACTTCAAAATCCTTAATCAATCAGGGAAATGCAGACTTAAATTAGGAAGAACTTTCTAAAAATTGCAGCTACCCAAAAGTCTGCCTTGGGAGGTACCAAGTCCCAGATCATTATAATAATAATAGCTGATATGTATAGCTAGAGAATATCATGAAAATCTATCATCTTGTAAGCTAGGAAAAAGAGGAGCTAGGTGACGCAGTGAATAGAGCGCTGGACCTGGAGTCAGGAAGACCTGAGTTCAAATATGACCTTGGACACTTATTAGCTGTATAAACTTGGGCAAGTCACTTAACCTCTGTCTGCCTCAGTTTCCTCAACTGTAAAATGAGGATAATAAAAGCATCTGCCTCCCAGGGTTGTTGTGAGGATCAAATGAGATGATATTTGTAGAGTGCTTCACACAAGGCCTGGCACTTAATAGTAGGCACTTAATAAATCCTTATTTTGTTTCTCCATTTTATAGATGGGGAAACCAGGGCTCTGAGGAATTAAGTAACTTGGCCATGATCATATATTATCCCTTATCAGGAATAGAGAAGGAGCCTCTCAATAAGGTAGAGGTTGAACCAAGTAACGTTTAAGATCTTCTTGAGATCTTTTGAGACTTTGAGGGAAGGGAAGGGAAAGGAAAGGGAGGGGAGGGGCAGGGAGGGGACTGCATAGTTCTGTGATAGTCCATGGCCTGCCAACCTCATTGGGCTGTTGTGAGAATGAGGTATGAATGTTCTGTGTAGGGCAGCTAGGTGGCATAGTGGATAGAGTACTGGGCTTAGAGTCAAAAAGATGCATCTTCTTGAGTTCAAATCTGGCCTCAGACACTTACTAACTGTGTGACCCTGGGCAAGTCATTTAACCCTGTTTGTCTCAGTTTCCTCATCTGTAGAATGAGCTGGAGAAGAAATGGCAAACCAATCCAGTATTTTTGTCAAGAAAACCCCAAAATGGGGTCATCAAGAGTTGGACATGACTGAAACAACTGAACAACAACAAATATAGTCTTATCTCTCTACGCCTATTGTTCGTATCCCAATATCACCTTTTCTCCTTCTCTCCCCTGCCTGTAGCACCACCTTTTCACCATCCCTGGTGATGAATTGGTTACCTGGTTACCTGGACCTGATGACTATTATGATCACATCTGGGGCCAATGATGCATCTCTCTAGGCCTAGCCTCTCAAGCCCTTTCCTGACTAGGCTCAGAATATATCCTTATACTCCTGCCCACTCTCCCTCTCTTATCCTGAAGAAAACCATACCCAAGTCCTGCCCTAGGGGCTGGTTTCAATCAGCAAGTGTCAAAGATCCCTTTGTCCCCTCTATGGCCTAAGATAGACACTTAACATATTCATTTTTTTACTTTGAGTTCCAAATTCTCTCCCTCCCTCAAGCCCCTCCCCCCATTGAGAAGACAAGCAATATGGTATCCATTATACATGTAAAATCATGCAAAACATATAGGATGGACACTTACCAGGGCAAAAGCGATGGTAGCTAATGTAGTCAGACAAAAACCAACCTTGGTGACTTCAGTGAACAGTTTGGTCCTGTCCACAAAGAGGCCAAGGACAAAAGCACCAATAATCCCAAACACAATGAAGAGAGCACCACAGAGGCCAGAAAATTCCTAAAAAAGGAAAAGGTCACACCGTCATTAGAGGTCACAGGGCAGACTATCACCCACCATCTTGCCATCAGCATGGGGCATGTCATGGCCAGGCAAAACATGGCGGGGAGGTCTCTGGTTTTGTCCCCAGCACACATCAACATGATCAAATGCCTATCAATGGAGAGTTGCCGCTCATCACTTCCATGATGGCAATTCAAATCAACAAACATTGATCAAACCTCTCCTAGTTGAGGCCCTATATTATTATCTGTCAGGTGTTTTCTGATGCCCTCTTTTTATTCTTTTTTGTTAGGCAATTAGGGTTAAGTGACTTGCCCAGAGTCTAATGAGTGTTATGTGTCTGAGGCCGGATTTGAACTCAGGTCCTCCTGACTCCAGGGCTGGTGCTCTATCTACTGTGCCACCTAGCTGCCCTGATACCCTCTTTTAAGAACAGATTAAGAGGATAATCAGAAAAACAGTCATGTGTAACTCTCTGTCACTCAGGGCACCTCCACCCCCACCGTCATCATGACATCCATCACTACTCAGTCCAATAAGCATTTTTTAAGTACTGACTATACGCAAGGCACTCTGTTAACAGCCAAGAATACGAAGAGAACCAGCATCACCAGCAATGATTACCATCACCATCACCATTTCACCCCCTGCCACTTAACAGTACCAGGAAGTAGACAGAGCATCTGTGAATGGTGGGACCTGGACAAAGTCATCACCTTCCATTGGAGATGATCATTCTATGACGAGCCATGCCTCATCCTCACTATTATAGAGAAAAGGAAAACAGAGGTCTGGAAAGAGCGAGGTCCTTACACATATTGGGTACTTAGTAGATGTCTATCAGAACCCGAATTAAATGACTAGCTCAAGGTTAGTGGCCAAACCTAAACTTGAACCCAGGGTTCCTGAATCCCAGCCACAGGCTCACCCCCACCAAACCCAACTGAACTACTTAATCCCCTCGAAACTCCTGCATGTGGCAGATGTATATGGGCTTGGAGACCTCCCTGAAAGATTCCCCTGACACCCTTTGGCTTCATGCCCAGGAAGGAGAAGGAAACAGAAGTAAACAGCAGGTAGCAGGACATTTCCATGCCAGCTCATACCCAAGAGTATCTTCCATGGCCTCAAGGGGCCTCCCTCACCTACCAGATCCTATAACTTCCTTCCCAAAGGACACTTTGATCCTGGAGACCCCACTGACACCAGGAGCCCCAAGAAACCTCCCATTAAAGTCAGGGGAAATTATCTTACATAATTTGGGTATACAAGTAGAAGACGATACAAACAAAGAAGAAGGGATGGAGAGACAACCTGAACGTCACTATCATCCAAACTGGCCAAAGGAGAGGAGAACACACACACACACACACACACACACACAGAGTTGGATACAGAAATTCATTTCCCTCAAGAAGGAAAAAGGCGAAATTAGAAGGAGGGTAAATTAAGCGAGGGATTAAAACTAAGCAACGCAAACTCTTAAGGATGTGCAAAAATATAATTATGGCAGCTCTTTTTGAGATGGCAAAGAAGTGGAATCCGAGAGACTGCCCATCCATTTGGGAATGGCTGAACAAGCTATGGTACATGAATGTGATAGAATACTATTGTGCTTTAAGAAATGATGAAGGGGATGGTTTCAGAGTGAGGTGAGCAGAACCAGAAGAACAATCTGTATACAATGACAGCAATATGGTAAAGACAGACAATTGGGAATGACTAATGATGCACTAATGATTATTAATGAGGAAACATACCTACCCACCTCCTGATGGAGAGGTGAGTCATAGGGAAGAATGTACAGGCAGTTCTCGCTTTATGTAAATTCACATTGCAAATTCAACTTTTGGTAAAGAATTCGGAAAGAAATCCTCATTCCAAAAAAACAGCTATGTTAACTTTACTGTACAGTTCTGTGTTGGGGCTCCTGAGGCATTCCCCGCTCCCACCTCCATCCCCTAAAAAAAAAAACAAAAACAAAAAAAAAACCTCCTCTCCGAGTGAAAGCAGAAGAATGGACACGGGAGAGACCAGCACCATGGTGGGTTGGGGGAGGGATCTGGGTTTGCCTTGAGACCTCAGCCTGCTGGGAGAGCAGACCTTTGCCCCGGCTCAGCCTACCTGTCTGGGTGTCCTCTCTGTGTGTCTATCTTCCATGCATCAGCCCTTAGGTACTGCATCTGTCCCCTGCCCTGGCATGTCACCCATCCTCCCCTGTCTGTGTCTGTGTCCTGGCCTCCACGTGTCTGCTGACCCCTTCTTCCTCTTCTGTATGTTCCTCTTCTTGCTCTTGCTTCTGTCCCTGGTTCCCACAGTCCCCTCCTTCCTGCCTGCCTACTTCCTTTCCCTGTGACAGAGGGTAAACTCGCATTAGGTAAAAGAAGCTTTATGTAGAGATCTGCTATGTGCGTGTATATATACACAATACACATATATGTTTATATATGTAATATGTAGATATATGTGTATATATTGGTTATCGCATAACCAATGCAAAAATTTGCTTTGCTTGACTATACACATTTGTGACATCTCTATATTTTTTTCATTCTCAATGGTGGGGGGAGGGGGAGGTGCTGGGGAGAAAAGGTGGGCTTTTGCTGATTGAAAGGGGTATGATCAAACTAAGTGAGTAAGGAACCAGTCCAGGTTGCCAGATCCCCTCCCCCGTCTTGATTTCCTCCTCTTGCCCATACCCTGTAACTGAGAAAGTTTCTAACCTGTGATATGGGCACATGCTGAGGGAGAGAGAATGTTCTCTGGGCCCTGAATGAGGCCGACTAGCTGTGCCTAAGAATATTTTCACTGAATGCCTTCTCTATGTTCAACTTGCCGGGCACATAGGAAGCTCACTGAGGCAAATATGAGCACACAAGGGAGAGAGAACCCAGGGGAAAACAACCACGAACACACCCAAGCTGCCCTGGTCAGCCTCTCCAGAGAGGAATAATGGTTGACGCCCATAAGAGTTTGCAAAAATACGGTCAAATAACTAACATCAAAGGCAGGATCTGAACCCACGTCTCTCCTGACTTTAAGCTCACAGCCCTTTACACTATATCATGCTGCCTTTCAACACAAGTGGAATATCAGCAGAGGGCCAGGATATATACAGATGGAAAGATATGGACAATATCCATAAGAAAATCCACCTTTTCCTGTCCCCCAGCTCTGATTCAGGAGCACTTAAAACACCCTGCCAATTCCTGCAGACTCAGTTTATTACAGACTTCATCTCCCTGGACTTTTCACAAACCTTTTGTCCAGGATCAAGGAGGTGGGTACAGGTTGGGGATGGAGATTTGATTAAACATCTGGCCATCAAAATAGATGTGCAATTCTCCAGCTTGCTAGGGCAGAATAAGAGCAACTCGCCAGCCGGTATCCAAGAAGCCAGGGAGATTCCTTCTGCAACTGTCCCGACAGGTGTACCTGTCCAGCCTTTGCCATTCCTGTTCCTTGCACACGCCAGTCTGATTGTCGGTGGCCAAGCAAATCCCAGAGTATGGGAGAAGAAACAACAATGGCCATAGGGAGCAGCAGTGATGGTGAGGTAGAATCCACCACTGTAAAGCAGACAGGACCAAGCCAACACGTGACAGCCTATATTGCCACTCACTGTAACTGCTGAAGCGTGGATGACCTGGGCCACACCGTCCTCCTCCTTGTGAAATGACATGGTGATGGTGGTGGTGGTGGTGGTGGTAGTGGTGGTGGTTTCTTTGTTTCATGTATGTCCAGCTTCATGACCTCACTCTTCATGACCCCATTTGGGGTTTTCTTGCCAGGGATACTGGAGTGGTTTGCCATTTCCTTCTCCAGCTCATTTTACAGATGAGGAAACTGAGGCAAACAGGTTAAGTGACTCGACTAGGATCATGCAGCTAGTAAGTATCTGAGGCTGGATTTGAACTCAGGTCTTCCTGACTCCAGGTCCAGAGCGCCATCCACTGTGCCACCTCGCTGGAAACTGTACTAAATGACCTCCAAGTCCCTTCAAATTTTTGATCTATAATTTTATTCAAAGGAGAAAAGAAAGCCTTTGCACTCCAAGGGTGGGGAACAAGGGGGAGCAGCGAAAAGCAGCCTCCCTAGCTGCTACTGCTTGTGTTCCCAGGATCCCCATCTCAGAAAGTGTGGCCCAATAAAATAATGCCCAAGTATTTGATATATTTTTGCCATTATTGTAAGAGGTATTTTCTTCTTTTTTCTATCAGTCTTTCTTGAACATAAGTGTCAATACACAGGCGTGCAGATTTAGGGGAGTTTATCTTATAACCCAATCCTTCGTTAAAAGCATTTATTAACTCCGTCAATTTTTTGGTTTGGGGTTTTCTAGATACATAATTGTGGCATTTGCAAATACAGGTAGTTTAACTTCTTCACTATGAATATTTATTCCTTTTATTTCTTTTTCATGCTTCACTGCTAAGATTTCTAAAAACATGTTAAATTGCAGTAGCAAGAGTGAAAATACCTGTTTAACAGCTCTTTTTAATGGCAATTTCTCCATTATACATATTATTAGCTCATGCTTTCAAATATTTACTTCTCATATTATGGAAAGACCCTACTATTCCTATTAATTTTTTTTCTTAACCCAAGTGAGTCCTCCAAAGGAAGACTTTCAATCAAAGGTTTTCTCTGCATCTAATATGTGATCATGTTGTCTTTAGGTTTTTGTGGTTGTTGAGAAAATTATACTATTTTCTTGCTCTTAAACTATCCTTGGATTCCATTTATAAATAATACTTGGTCACTCAAAAAAAAGAATTGCACATTCTACTGGTGACTGCTTTATTTAGTATTTTTGCATCATGTTCATTAATTATGAGGAGTATTCACAAGTCATTTTATTTTAGTTTCCGTGAAGAACTATATCTTTTATTCAATTGCATTACTATTTGCTGCATGAGGCAATTAGGTGGTGCAGTGGATAGAACAATGGGCTTAGAATCAAGGAGACTCGTCTTCCTGAATTCAAATCTGGCCTC